TTTTCCAAAGTTTTCTTTGATAAACTTTGGTGACAACTCTACTAATTTTTCTTAAAAATATTTTCGCCGTAACGTTATGACTGCCCAGCTGCTACAATTCTTTATTTTTTAAATTTTAATTACTTCCACTTAGTTTTCAATATTATTTAATTTCTTAAACTAATTTTTTACCCTAAAGTTGTAATCAATAATAGACTTAAGAATAACATTATTAACAAAATTTTATTTCACATTTTCCCCCCTTTTTTACATTATTTTAACCTATTCTACTTTATATCATTTGTGTAGCATGATTTCTTTGATACCCTTAAATTTAAATGGGTATACATACCCATATTAGATGACCCAATAATTGCATGTAGATAGAATATATCGACAAAAAGTAAAATCTATCCAGCTTATAAATGAGTATTGTTAGGTTCATCAAGCATGGCAGAAGAAGCCTCGTGCTTCATCAAACCATTGCCAAAATTTTGTGTTTCAAATGTGGAACCAAATGCTGTTAAAAATTTTAAACAATGAGCAATTCAAGATACAAATTATAGTCTGCATTAAATTGGTTTTTGGTTTAGGATATCCTTCATTCATCTCGAATTTGATGTGTCTCTGGTCTAGAAAAAGATGAGAGGATAATCGCAAGAGATAAGAGTGTTCTGCTCTCTGTCTGGGAAGTTATCAGAAGTTACGAAAAGTGATCGTGTTTTTTTGGTTAGTGCCCAATGGGATAGCATATAACCGACTTCCTAGATGAGATGAGGAACCTCTCAATGGGCTTATTTAATAACCTGACCCATCACAATTTATTAAAAGAATAACTCAAAGTAATATTATCCATCAATTAGTCAATAAATAAAAAAATATAATTAAATAATAATAATAATAATAATAATAATAATAATTGATATTATAAATTATAAATAATTGATTATGTCAATCCATAATAATAATAATCTAGCAATCTCCCACTTGGATGACATAAATCAATATATGTGTCAATTACAAAGCTGTAGAAAATATCATATCAATATATTAATTATTATATGAATATTATTTGACGAAAATAGCAGAAAATATAAGCCATGAAAGTGTAAATAAAATATTTGATAGGGATATCATATATGTGTCACGTGCTTATACTTCATATGAAGGGTGATGAATATAAAGAAATGCATACATTTTATTCAATTTACAATGCAATTCCAAAGAATGGCCCAAGCATTTAGAAATGCTATATATGAGATATGACAATAAAATAATGTCGTCTCAAACATACCTCATACTGATTAAAGTAGAAGAAAAAATTTTAGATTCCCACTAACCCAAAACATCAAAAGACTCAACTATACCTATGTGGGCTACATGACTTTTGAAAATTCCAACATTTAAGCCTTTGGTTAGTGAATCAGCTAACATCTTCTCTATGGAGATGTGCACAATCGTAGTCTAAAATTCTGAAACCTTCTGTCTAACAAACAAATATTTTATGTCAAAGTGCTTTGAACGAGAGGAGCTTTCATTGTTTTGAGAGAAGTGTACAACGGCAGAATTATCGCAATATAGCACATGGCTTGGAGTCCAGAAATCAAGTTCTTGAGCCACATGGCTTGGTAAGTAGCTTCTTGGCAAGCGATATATTCTGCTTCCATGGTAGAGGTAGCTGTAAGAGTCTGTTTCACACTCTTCCAAGAAATAGCTCCTCCTGCCATTATGAAGATACAATCGGATGTAGATTTTTGATCATCAGGATAACCTACAAAATCAGAATCAGAATAACCAATAACCTGAAGTTGATCAGACTTCTTATAGGTCAACATGTGATCTTTTGTGCCCTGCAAGTACCTCATGACCTTCTTTGCGACTCTCCAATGACCCAAACCTAGGTTGGGTCAGTCAAGTATCTTCCTAAAGCATTGACAGCAAAAGCAATGTCCAGATGAGTGCAAACTTGAACATATATTAAACTGCCAATAGCGAAAGCATATGAGACTTTCTTCATTTCAGCTCTTTCATTTTCATTTTTAGGACATTGAGATTTAGAAAGTTTGTCCTCCTTTTGAACAGGTGCAGCACATGAGGAACAAGAATGCATGTTAAACCGTTTGAGGATTCTATCAATGTATCCTCTGAGACAATGATCTATCACGATAAATTTGTATGCCTAGAACAACGGAGGCATCACCTAAGTCCTTCATATCAATGTGGTTAGTCAACATCGACTTTGTCTCAGTTAAAAGTTTAACACAACTACTTGCCAAAAGAATATCATCAACATAAAGCACAAGAATGATAAAATTTCTCCCACTAGTTTTCAGATAAACACATTGATCTGAAGCATTTTCCTTGAAACCAAGGGAATTAACCACCTGATCAAATTTTAAGTGCCATTTGTCTAGATGTCTGCTTCAATCCATAAATGGATTTCTTAAGTTTGCAAACTAAATGTTCTTTGCCAATTTTAGCAAAGCTATCAGGCTGAACCATATAGACATCTTCATGTAAATCTCCATTCAAGAATGTTGTTTCACATCCATCTGGTGAAGTTCTAAATCAAAGTGCGTCGCCAAAGCCATAACAACTCAGAAAGCATCTTGAGTAGATACCGGTGAGAAAGTCTCTTTATAGTCAATGCCCTCTCTCTGACTATAGCCTTTGGCTACTAGTCTAGCTTTGTATCTTTCATTTTCACCATCTGGATTATGTTTGGTCTTAAAGACCCATTTGCATCCAACTGGCTTGCAACCAACTAGTAACTCAACAAGTTTCCAAATACCATTGTGTGACATAGAGGCTAATTCATCATGCATGACATTTAGCTAATTAGAACCATGAGAGCAAGAGATAGCCTCTTCAAAAGAAATGGGATCATCAACATCATTGAAATTGAATTCATGTTCCTGGAGATAAACAATGTAATCATCAGGTATTGAAGATGTGCGCGCTCTTCGAGATCTTCTCAAAGGAACCTCTTCAACAAGGTCATCTTGTTCCTGTTCATTCATGAAAGGAGCTATTATATCTTTGTCTTGAAGATTTTGATTAGGAACAATAGAAACGATAATATTTGATGGCATAGGAATTGTAACCCTATCCTCCCTAAGGATGATTGGCTGTATTGTTTGACTCCCACTATCCAAGACATCTTCAAAGAATACAACACGATCGGATTTAATAACTCGAGTAGAGTGAGAAGGACAATAGAATCTGCTACCACAAGAACCAATATAATAGCCAATGAAAAAACCACTGATATTTTTGGATCAAGCTTCTTCAATTGAGGATTATAAGGTCTTATCTCTACCTTACAACCCCATACATGTATATGCTTCAAGGTTAGCTTTTTTCTAGTCATGAGCTCATAAGTAGTCTTAGGTACAGATTTGCTGGGTACTTGATTGAGAATGTACATAGCAGTCCTTAAGGCATCTCCTTAAAGAAAGACTGGTAGAGAGGAATGGCTTAACATACATCTCACCATGTCAAGAAGTGTCCTATTCCTTCTTTTTGCAACTCCATTTTGCTCAGGTGTACCTGGCATTGTATATTGGGCTTCAATGCCACATTCTTCAAGGTATCTTGCAAAAGGTACAAGGTTTCTACTTGTTTCATCGTATCTTCCATAATATTCTCCTCCTCTGTCAGACCTTACACATTTGATCTTCTTTCCCGTTTTTCAATTCAACAGCAACTTTAAAAGATTTGAAAGCATTTAGAGATCCAGATTTCTCCTAAAGGAGTTCTATCCATCCAAACCTAGAGAAATCATCAATAAATGTGATAAAGTACCTATATCCACCCAAAGTAGCAAGTGTCATAGGCTCACACATATCAGTGTGAATCAACTGTAATACATTATCACACCTGCCAGAAGTTTTATTTCTGACTTTGGCAGAAAACTTGCCTTTAATGCAATTAATACAAGTGTCAAAATCAGAAAAGTCTAGATTATGAAGAATGCCTTCTTTTATTAATCTTTGAATTCGAGGCTTAGAAATATGCCCTAGACGTCTATGCCATAACATAGAAGAGTTCTAATTAACCCTACCATGTTTTTGTCCAATAACATAATTAGCAATCATGTTACTCAAGGTTAACATATATAGCCCATCACACAGAACTCCAGAAGCGACAATAATGAAATTGAAAGAAACAACTAGTTTTCCATTACTAAAAGTAAAAGAATGACTGTGCTTATCCAAGGTAGAAACTAAAATCAAATTCCTTCTAATGGAAGGTACATAAACAACATCCTTTAACACCAAAACATGTCCAGAAGGTAAACATAAAGAAACTACTCCTATGTCTGTCATAGCTGCTCTAGCTCTATCTCCTATGATAATCTTGGATTCTGCATCATTTGGCTTCCTCAGACTTATGAATCCCTGTAAAGAATTCACAACATGAATAGTGGCACCCGAGTCTAGCCACCAAGAATGGGGAGGAATATCAATGGTATTAGATTCAAAACATGCTAGAGCTAGAGGTATACCTTGTTTCTCAAGTTTCTTCTTTAGGAAAAAACAATCATCCACCTTATGACCATACTTCTTGCAATATTTGTAGCTCCCTTTAAAAGAATTCTTCTTGGGTCCCAAATTAACAGGTGCTTTTCCTTTTTTATCCCTTTTAACATGAGTTTCAAAATGAGGCTTTCCCTTATAACCTCCTTTTGTCTTATTCTTAGCACCAAAAGAGGAAGTAGCAAACTAAATAGTGTGAGACTTGGTCTTCTTCATATTTTCTTCTTCTTGAGTAACAATGGCAAGCACGTCATCTATCTTTCATTCTAGCTGCTTATATGCATGGTAGGATGTCTTTAACATGTCAAACTGAGAGGGGAGAGAATCCATAATCTTCCATATTAAATAGTCATCACCAAGATCCACTTTCAGTGCTTTCAGTTTGTTATAATAATGGACCTGCTTCATCATTTGCTCACGTAAAGACAAGTACTGACCCTTTGCTGCTTTATCATACATGGTCTTCTCAAGTAAAGATAAGTATTAATCCTTTGCTGCTTTGTCATAGGTTTGAAATTTATCCCCAACAGATTTCAAAAAATCTTTAGCATTATTGCTTTCTTGGATACTCTGTCTAATAGACTTCTCCATTGTATACTTCATGACCATAAGACAAACCCTATTAGAGTGTTTTGACTTCTCTCGAGAGGTCTTATGGGCAGCAGTGGATTTAGCAGTGAGAGCTGGAGGCTCATTTTCTCTTAGGGCTAAGTCCATGTTGGTGATAGCAAGATAAAGATCTAAGGACTCTTTCCAATCCTCATAGTTTGTCCCATTCAGTATTTTAACCGAAGTCAATTGCATAGGCAAAGACGCTGGAATCAAACACGATAAGGAATCATTTAATATGCACAATTAGTCATGCAAAAGACAGTTAAATGATCCTGTATTCACAACCAGAATATGCCTTAATAATAAAATTTCTCAATTATTATAGTTCTGCCTAAAGGTCCCCAACTATAATAAATAAGAAATTTTATAATAATATAACGCACAAGCTTATGACACTAGAAAACTAACATCGATAGGATATTAGAAAATAATTGAAACAAGTTTGTGTTATACTTATGGATATGAAATGCTGCCTGTGATTGTATTTGTCTAATGTATTGGAAATGTGCTGAAGGTGAGACTCTATGTTGACTGTGTGTTTTGGGTAGTGTAGAGTACTCACCCTTACATTTATTTTTCAGGTAATCAAGACGATCAGCACCAGACTCAGTGAAAGGGGTGGATGAAACTGCTATTGGACTTAGGATATTATTTTGGAAAACTGTTGTATTTGAATAAGTCCTGTAGCAACTGTTTGATATAATTTGTAACCTCTTTCTTTATTTGAAATGGTTGATGAAACTTGAATTAAAAATAAAAATTTTATTATTTCAAAAATTTGAAAAATTTCTTATTTATTAAAATTAAATTTAAGGTGTTACACCAGAGATTGCTTCCAAATTTAAAAAAATATATAATAATATTTTTTTACAAAAAAATGAAAAACTTTGAAAAAAGGGGGATTGGTATTTTGTACATGATAAAAGAAAATTCAAATTAGGTATTTTGTTAAACCCTAACAGCAAGAAAAAAAAAAAAGAGGACTAGTATATATACGTAAAATGAGGGATCTAGAAAAGAGGAAGGGGTCAGCAAAATTTTTAAGAAAAATTGAGAGATCTGAGAAAAGAAAAATTAAGTTTTTTTTTTGGCGAGAAATAGGCAACAAGTTTTCAGCGAGGGGAGGCTTTCTAGAGGAAGCAAAAAATATTTTTAGGAGATATGAGATTAAAAAAGAAAAGCAAAAATCATAGTGAAAAGGGAGCAAAATACTTAGCCGATAAGAAGAAAGAAAAATTGTCATCTTTAGCAACTATTGAAACATCAATAAATTAGCACTTTTTAAATAAAAAAAAACTACCCATTGCGGCTCCATTCCATTGTCTCCCTCAGGCTCTTTTTGTAATGCCCCGAGTTTTGTAAATTATTTGATTATAATATGTAAACTGATGTTTGAATGTGCATTTGATTGTGTGATAATTTGGATGTAAATATAATCGTGAAGATATATGTATAGTATGGTTGAAATGTGATGTGGACTTGTAAGTTGGCTAAAATTTATTGAAATGTAGGCTAAGTGTGTGATGCACAGGCATTCCCATTGTAGTGAGAAGGCCCTGGGAGAAACGCGTGCATTTGTTGCGTTCTCGCTGTAGTAAGAGGGCAACAGAGAGAGGGTATTTTCTAGGTGCAATCTTGCTATACCGAGAGGGCCTCACTGTACCAAGATTCTGCAGAAACCAGAGTGGAGTTTTCTCTGATATTTTCACTATAGCAAGGAGGGGTGTCGCTGCAGCGAGAGATATCTCGTTGTAGCAAGAATATCACAATCAGAAGGGGTATTTGAGGTGCTTAGGGTTCGAGGAAGTGCATTTTTACATTTTCTCTCGTTTCTCTTGCAATTATCTCGACCCCAAACTCATTTCCATCAATTAAACTACCTCCAAAGCCGTTTGGGAGTAAGATTGAAGGTTGGAATTGTAACATCATGTTCTTTGATTTAAATAAAATGAGGTTTGTTAAAGTATAATTGGAATAGATTTTGATAGAATTTATATTTTAAAAAAAAATGTGAACAGTAAAACTGCCTATGAACAGTGTCAGTGAACAGTAAAACCGCCTATGAACAGTAAACCACGTATAAACAGTGAAACCGCGTATGTACAGTGATGATGACATCATAGCTGACTTCACATCCGTGTACAGTACGTGTGCATAGTGTTTTCGGCATGAATAGCGACCGCGAACAATGTTTTCGGCGTGAATAGTAACTTTACAAAATTTTCTATAAAAAGGGAGTTTCAGACGAAATTTTCATTTCTGAACTCCTATCCAAGGTTCTAAGGCTATATCTCATCATTTTCTCCCATACTAAACCTCCTAAACTTAGATTTCTATTCAGATATTTGATTCTACGTCCGTTCTAAAGGATTTCAAGTAAGTTTCTCTAAGTTTGAAGTTAGATTTACCGTTTGTTTCTCTTCTTCTTCTTTTTCTTATAGATGTTCGTGATGTTCTCAGGAAAAACTTTGTTCTAGAGTTAAATCTTCGGTTAAATCCTTGCAAAAGCTCTGTTTTGAGGTAAAGGGGCTCTACTTTATCATTTTGTTATGTTTATTGCTTGTATTCTCATGGATCTTGTCATGTATGTGATTATATGTGGAATAATCCTTGTTTTATGAGAAATAATCAGTGAAAAGTGAGAATAATTGGCTGTTTATGTGATTTTATGATGAATACATGGTGAAAATGTGATATTATGTTCAAATAGGGCATGATAAGGTATATTGAGGATGGTTGATATGATTTTATGATTTTGTGATATGGAATATACAAAGAGATGGATATTTCTCGTTTGAATATATTGTGTTTCATGTAAAAATGATGTGTATTGTGAATATGCCATGGTTTGATGTATATGATAAAAAAGTATGAGGAAATATAATGAAAAATATGTGTGAACATGATAAATGGCATATGTGAACATGTGAATATGCTCGAAAAAGTATAAGATGGAAAATGATATGATGTAAATAGTTACAGAGATACACTGGGGGGTGAAAGATGGAGACGATATGGTATATCTTGGGGAAATGTAGGGTGGTGAGTGACATTCGGGATTGTGCACGGAATATTGTGTTCGAATGCACCACATGGCCACACACTCATTTCTCGACTTGACTCCTAACCATTACCTTTGCTAAGGGGCTGTCTATTGCATGCGTTGTATCCGTATTGCATTAGGCCATCCGGCGACTATTTACATAGATGTGTAAGACCTCGGAATAGAGGCATTGGATAACTGTGACCACAGGGCGCAGTAAGCACAGATAAAAGTAAAAGAAATTGTGAATCTGTGGAATATAATATATGTTGAAATGAGAACATGCTTTATATGACACTATAATATGTAATGCCATGATGTTTTCTTTAACTGTGATAAGATGTATTTTGTGATAAATATGTGTGATGTATGAGTGGTAGGGTAGAGACTTACCCTTACACAACATTTTCAGGAAACCAGGATGAATAGTACCAGGCTCACAGTGCATGGATGGATGAGAACTACTATAGGACTTAGTTATTTTGAGTTATGTAATGAATATTTTCAGTTCTATAGCATTCTTTTGAAACAGTTGTAAAACTACTATTTCTCTTTGTTGCTGATGAAAACTTTAGAATCTTTGTTTTCCTAAAGTACTTATGAATTAATGAAATTTTACTCTTTGAACCTTATATCATTTCAATGTCTTTTCCTTATTAGAAAGTTTTTGAAGGAAAATTTACTTTACCATATTAATTTTTATAAAAATTTATCATATATTGAGGAAAGAAATATAAGGTGTTATAGGAATCGTGTTTGGGACACTTGGAGGTATGTTCTAAGAGTTAGGATTTTGGTTTTCTTTCGATTTCTCATTGAGTTTTCCATGTATTTTGGACAAAAATTCATGTGGGAAACGTTTTCACCGTTGTGGGTCTTCATTCCAAGATAAGGGGAACTCTACCCTATCTCTTTATGTTTAGAACTCATTCGTATGATTATGTTTGTGAATGGGAATGATTGGAATATTTGAAGATAAGTGTTTTAATGAAAATGACTTGATTGTAGTGAGATTGCAGCGAAAAGATTGTGTAAATTATAGTGTGATGGGTATTGAGCATAATGTGTGTGATGTAGTAATTTGATTGTGATGGAGTTTTGATGAAAATTTAATGTTTAAGTGTAATGTGATTGAGAATGTGGTTGAAATGCTTAGACATGCCATTGATTGATATTGAATAATATAAAATGGTTGAAAGTATGTGGAATGACATGTTGAATGTGAAGCGATACATTGGGAGTGTGGAAGATGGGAGCGGTAGAAATACCTTGGGGAAGAGAGGGTGGTGGTGACACCAACAGTAAGCGTGGGTGCACCGCAAGTCACACACTCTCCTGTTGACTCGGCCTCTGACTAACACCTTTGCTTGAAGCTCAGTACCGTACACATTGTATCTATGGAGCGGAAGCTATCCGGCGACCATCCATGGTGTGAACTGAGTAAGTCCCTGAGGTTGAGGGCATTAGAAAAACTGTTATCACAATACCACAGTGAGTGTGGTTACGTGCAGTGAGTGCACGTGTATATGGATTGTTTGATGGTGCAGTGAGCGCATCCGTTTGTGAATTGAAATGGAATGTTGAAAATGTATTATTTTACATCTGCTTGATGTGTGATTTGAATAATATTAGAAAAGTGTGTAATGTGTGAGGTGAGTCTTTGTGCTTGTGTGCGATAGTGTAGAGTACTCAACCTTATATTTATTTTTCAGATGACTAAGACGATCAGCACCGAATTCGGTGAAGGGATGGATGAAACTGGTATAGGTCTTAAAAAGTTATTTTGAAAACTATGATGTATTTAAACTAGTCCTATAGCAATCATTTGATATAAATTTGTAATTCATCTTTATTTTAAAATACTTTATTGAACTATGTATTAAGAACTGTTTGAATGAAAATTTGTATTTTTCCTATTTTTGTGAAATTTATTTATTTAAAAATAAAATTAAGGTGTTACACTTTTACAGCAACAACTCTTTCAAGTAAATGAGTATTTTTTACTCTCAACACTATTGGATATATGAAAAATATAAAAAATGAAAAGGCTGGCATGCAATTTGATGTTTTGTCAGAACGTTTCCATCGTCAAACAGTTTTTGCTTTTACTTGTATAGGTTTTGCATTTATTTATTTACGTTAAATATCTTTAATTATCTTTTTACTTTTTAATCTTCAATCTGAGCATTTTTTTTTAATTTGTTATCCTGTTCATACGATTTGACGTTTCAAGTGTTTAATATTTTTGAAAATAGGAATTGTTATTATTTATTTACGTATTTAGGTACAATTGTTAAAATAGATTTTTGTTGTTGTTAACTTTATATCTAAAGTTTGTTTTATTTATTCTAGTGTTTTATTGAACATTTATTTTATTTTATTATAAATTTAGATATTTTTTATTATGTATATAATAATAAAATAATAAACTTTTTAATGTATCATTTCATATTTTATTTCTATCTAGTAATTAAATTTTAATCTTTAATTCTTTGAATAATAATAATAATAATTATTATTATTATTATTATTATTATATGATATAGATGTAAATGAATTTAAAAATTAATATATATATATATATTATTTTTTATTTATTTAGTCATTAATATTATTATCTTCCTTCATTTTATATGTGGATGATATCAATATAATTTCATTTAAATTTATGTGCTATTCCTTTTTATTATTATGCTAAATTATAAAAAAAAATTATCTAAAATTAAGCAAGTGGATAATACAATATTTGCATTGATTTATAACATTAATGTATAGATACTCTACCGCCATGTATTATAAATTGATAAAATCTTTATGTACCAAAGTTACCGTAGGTTCTATATAATATAAATATATCAACCAAGTTTAATCTTTTCATTAAATAATAATAATTTTTTATTTTATTTTATTATAATATATTCATTCCTCTCATTAAATGAAATTAATTTCATATTTTAATTTTTTAATTTATATTTCTAATTTTAATCAAATAACCAAATATTTATTCAATTTATTATATAAATTTTTGCAATATGGATGTGTAGTTTATATTGTCTTTGATTATCCAATAATTATTATGGATTTATATATAGCTTACACTATCTTAAATTCTCTTCAATATAAATCTTCAAATATAAATTCAAACTTTTCATTTACAAATAATAATATTTTAAAAATTATTAAATCATTTTAAATGATTTGCAATGTAGTTGTGTGATCACACTTGGCCTTCTATATTGTTTATCGTATGATGCATCTATA